GAGTGCGTGCAAGCAGAGGGCGCGCGAGAGTGCGTGCAAGCAGAGGGTGCGTGAGTGCGTGCCTGCATGAGGCCATGCAGAGGGGCACCTACCTTTGGCAGCTTTTCTCTCCGAGATCAGGGGCGAGCGCCGAAGCCGAGCGGGCTGGGAGCAGCGGGACTCTGGCAAGAGAGAGTAACACACGTCAGTGTCGTGGGGATGTGGCAGCATCTCCGTGGGGAGATGGAATTAGTCAGGCTAAACACTAGGGCTCAGGGGAGAAACGCTGTGGCTCTTTCCTCGTCTTGGTTTCACGGTTCTCCCTGAAAAGGATCCCACCTCTGGTAGCACAGTGCTGGAGCACTGGGGTCAGTATTGATTAAGAGGGAAGAGCGCCTCCTACTGATTCTCCACCCTGCAACACAGCACCCCCTAGCACCACACTGTGGTATTGGGGTCAGCGCTGACTAGGATGGGAGAGCGCCCCCTGCTTAGCCCCTGTCCTGCTCCATGCAAACCACCACCCCCTAGACCAGGGGTTCTCAACCTTTTTCTTTCTGAGGCCCCCCACCCCAGCATGCTAGAAAAACTCCACGGCCCACCTGTGTCACAATAATTGATTATCTGCATATAAAAGCCAGGGCCGGCGTTAGGGGGTAGCAAGCAGGAAAGTTGCCCAGGGCCCCACGCCACAGGGCCCCCCACAAAGCTACATTGCTCAGGCTTCGGCTTCAGCCCCAGGTGGCGGGACTTAGGGCTCCGGGCTTCAATCCCATGCAGTGAGGCTTTGGCTTTCTGTCCTGGACCCCAGCAAATCTAACACTGGCCCTACTTGGCAGCCCCCCTGAAACCTGCTCGCGGCCCCCCCAGGGGGCCCCTGGTTAAGAACCGCTGCCCTAGAAGACCAGGATGGGTTGTACTGCAGGGGAGCGGGGCTTGATAAAGGGAGGGACTTCTGGGGCTGTGTTCGCGCTGTTCCCATGTGGTATGAGCAGCGGGCTCGATCCCATGCTGCCCTGCACTGGAGAGCCCTGTGGCACGACCGGGTCACCTGCCCGCTGGAGCGTCTCAATGCCAACGTTGGTCTGAAGCAGCAGCCCAGCGTCCGCAAACACCCCCACGTGGTCCCTGCCGCTGCCGGGCGTGCAGCCGATGTCGCTCTTCTCCACTGCGTCCCAGATCTGGAGAGACAAGAGGGGACACGATGCCATTCCCTGCTCTGCCCCAGACACCCTGGGTGACCTTGGGTAAGTCACTTAGCCTCTCTAGGCCTCAGTTTCCCCATCTGTACCATGGGGATAACAGCACAGGATTGTGAGATGCTTGGGTCCTACAGTAATGGTGGCCCTGTAAGTACCTAGGGTGGATTCATAGAGGTTCAGATCAGAAGGACGTTCGATCAGCTAGTCAGACCTTGAGCCCAATAAGCAGACTGGCAGCAGTAGGATTCAACCTCTCCCAAAGAAACCAGCACTTTAATGCAGCACCTGAGCCCACTGGGCCATGCTATCACACGAGCACGCTTGTAGGTCGAGAACACGTGGTGGAGCAGCTCCAAGTCCAGACAGCAGGGGGCAGCAATGCTCACGCGCATGCACAAAGCCAGCTCACTACCTTCCTTTAGGCCTCTCCCCCCATCCGTTCAATTTGACCCTCCCGTGGATGAAACTGGGAAGGCGTCCTCCCTCAAACCCATCATGGGTGTAGTGGGGAATCCAGCCTCACAGGTCACGCCTGCCCTAATCTCCTCCTGCCGTCGACACCCTCTCCCTGACGGGCATCAGTGTCAGAGCTGGGAGTGGAACCCAGGAGTCCTGCCTCCCAGCCCTGTCCCCATTCTAACTACTAGGCACCACTCCCCACCCAGAGCCAGGAACAGAACCCAGGAGTCCTGACTCCCAGCTCCTCTGCTCTAGCCACTAGACCCCACTTCCCTCTATCACCAGAGGTACAGAGACCTCAGCTTCTCATATAACCCATCCCCACTGCAGGTAGTACTCTGTCCTCCTCCGGGGGTGGCTGTAACATACATAGAGGCTACTGCAAGATTAGGTTTTTTTCGCTCAGGCAGCAGTGGCTCCTGCTTCAAGACACAGAGGTCCCCGGTTCGGTCCCCACACCTGACCACCCCCTGCCGTTACGCTCACCTTGGCTTGGGAGAACTTATATTTCCTGTTTAACACATAAACAGCTTTATCCACAGCCACCAGCCCGACCCTGGCTCCGGGATCTCCCTTCACTCGGAGATTCATCTGCCCACCTGGCACCTGGACATCATTGTCTTGCTCCGTTGCGCCTGTTACCTTCAGCTTTCATGGAGATGAGAGGAAAGAATGAATCAGCCACGTGGGGGTGACTGCTGAATGGGGAGACCCCCCCCCCCATGACCATGGGGCTTCCAGGGGTATGGAATCCCCATGCTGCCCCTGGGATTTGAACCCCTCTCCTTGGGCTGTAGACCACTGGAGCTAAAGAAGCGCTCCCCTAGCAGCTAGAAGTGGAGGAGACTTGAGCCATCCCTTTCTCAGGCAGCGTCGAACAGGAATTTTTCAATGAAACAGTTTTTCGTCAAAAACCAACCCTGATCTGTCAAAGGCAAACCATCTCTTGGGCCAGGGGCGGGTCCTTTCTGCGGGGAAAGATTCTCAGCTGGCGTGGAAGTTCTGCTCAAAATGAGACAGCGAGAGAGAGACCCCAAAACAGCGACTAAAGTTCAAATCACTGCTCTGTCCAAGTTGGAGGAGGGACTTGAAGTGGGTCTCCAATATACCAGGGGGGTGCCCTAACCATTGGGCTAGACAGTCAGCATCTTTTGCTCTCTTCCAGTGAAGATTTAGTTATCTCAGAGCTGAGACCAACCCAGTGGGATATGGAAACCCCAGGTTCCCATGACCCCCACAGCCCAGGCGAGCGCCCTGGATGCCAACGTGGGGTGGTCTTGCTCTGATCTTTTTTGTGAAAGACTTTGCAAGGTCTCTGTTTTGTTCCTGGGCAGAACGGGAACCTTTTTGACAGTTCTGCTCCTATCATCAGGGAGAGCTTTGCCTGAGAAAACACAGAGGGCCTAATTCTCCTTTTGCGTCCATGGGGTGTAAATCAGGAGTAACTCCACTGAAGTGAATGGACCCGATTCTTCTCCCACTGGTGTAAATCAGTAATAACTCAATGGGCCAGATCCTCAGCTCGTGCAAATGGATGTCACTCTGAAGTGCGCTTAGATGATTTACGTCAGCTGAGGATCTCACCTAATGGCCTCACTTGTCCTCCCACTGGGGTAAATCAGGAGTCACTCCGCTGAAGTCAGTGGAGTTATACCCTGGTGTAAGCATGAGGCGAGACTGTCCCTATCTATCTTAGGTTTAATCAGCGAGTAAGGACTGAGTCAGATCTACCCTGGGAGTAGCTCACCATTTTCCCACTGGGAACCTGCTCTCCTCTCAGCCAGAATCCATCAAGTTATTTAAATATATTGACGTAAGTGCCAGAGAGAAGATCAACCCACCGTTCCCATACAGGAGTCCTGGACATCCAACCAGACCGAGTCTGCCACGATCTCCTTCTGCCCTACGTGGTAGTAAGCCACGATGCGGAAAGAAGGGATGAGGTCTGGAGTGATGGGCAGGAACATGGTCACCAGAGTTTGTCCCGCCTGCCTGGCCTGTCTTCCAGCCCGGATGATCTTCCCTTTGTTCAGGATCTGATGGGGAAGCAGAAGGCATTCGCTGTCACTGGATGAGTCCCAATGATAACAGCACAAAATCACATAGAGCCAGGAAGGAAACCCAGGCGTCCTAGACCCCATTCTCCTTCCACTGCTGGCGATAGAATCCAGGAGTCCCGACTCCCAGCCCCCTGTCACCGTCTCCTCCCCTGCTGCGCACACAGCGATGCTGCCTCTTACCAGGTAGGTGAAATAGTGGATCTGCCTCTGAACGTCAGCGTTACTGTTCCGCAAACTGAAGCTCACAGGCAGGGCGTTCCCCGGCTGGAGCTGAGTGGCCGGCACCGAGATGTGCAGGTAGTTCCTCGAGCCCCCTTGCGACCCGTAGGCTACCGCGGCCCAGACCGCCGAGCTCTGATGCTCCTGCCGGAGGTTGGCAACCACAGTTTCCACCTGGGGGATGATAGGGGGACCGTGAACGGACTTTCTTCATCAGAGACAGCTCAGGATCAGGTCTAAAAGGGGCCAGATCCTGACCCCGCTGGAGTCAATGGCAAAATTCCCACTGACTTACATGGGCCCAGCACTAGATAGTTGGGGTCTTGCCGAAATTAAGCCTTGTGGAATTAAGCCATCTTTGTGCCCCCTGCATCTTGGGCCCAGACCCCAGCCTTCAGTTTAGAGCTGCTCTGACCTACCCTCTGCTCCCAACCCAGCCCCTCTGGGCCACGAGGAGCAGAGACTAGCCAGAGTGCAGCAGCCAGGGCATCTCGCTTCTCCAGCGTGCCCCTGGCACTGGGGTCTAGAGGGGAGAAGGCAGGGCTATGTCAGCCAGGAAGGCCCATTGCTCTGCGGGTGGGTCTTAGGTAGGATGAGCAATAGAGAATCAGACCCAGTTGCCTCCTGCCTTTGACATTGGCCGGGGCCTGGGACCTGTAGGGTCCTAGATCAGACCTGTCCCCAATCTGGTCCAGTTCCTATATCAACAGAACGTGTAGGGAACCAGTACCAGGACCCAAGGAGCATCCTGCCCTGAGTGACCCGACATGTACCTTCACCGAGAGCTGAGATGCGTCTGCTGGGGTGTTGATCGCCAGCTGCACTGTCCCGTCAGCCTGTGTCAAACCGCTGGCGCTTGTCCCGCTGCGCACGGGGACCTGGGGGGCGGGGGAACCGTCCGCGTTCACCACGGAGACCTGGGCATCGGAAGACAGGAGAGAGGGTGGATGTGAACTTAGTGATGGTTGAAGGTGCCCGGTAGGTCTCCTTGGAGCCTGATGTTCTCTACATACTCCCAGCCCAGGCTGTAACCTGCGGGTCAGCGTCCTCCCCCGTGTCTGATCTGGTCAGTTACAAAGCCTGGTTGTACCTATGACAGCAACACCGCCCAAATAACCCTGACGTCCTCCACTTAAGGGGAGCTCAGTCAACCCTGGGCCTCTATGCTGCACTATGCCCAGCGAGGCCAGCCTGCGCCAGCAGCGGTTGCAATGCAGACACCTGTGTCTATTTTTGCCTGCTCCAATGACCACTTCCAGGTAAGATTTCTCGTGAACCACTAAAGGCAGGCTCTCACGCTGTACACCATTAGAAAGCGAATCATCCCTGCTCTCCAATGGCACGCAGATCTGTTAGCTAGCCGTATCAGGCTGTGAGATAACACTATGAAGGTTCTACGCCGGCAACGCCGCTGGCTGGACGTACCACCAGGTTAAAGGGCAGCCCGGGTTTGAAGTACGTAGCAGATCTGGAGAAGAGGATTTTGTAGGGAGAGGTCACAATGCGGATCCCGGATTTCTCAGCCTCCACCATGTCACTCCCTTGGGGATTAAAAAAAAAGAAGAAGAAGAAGTTTGGTCTTGAGGTGATGGCTGGACTGGGACTCAGGGGATCTGGGTTGAGTGCCTGGCTTTGTCAC